GTGCAGCGCGGCGGGAAAACGGCCGCGGGACACGCGTCTGGGGGGGAAAAATGGCCGCGGAGCCCATGTCCGGGGGGGAAAATTAAAGTACCCCGAGGGGGAGTTCGCACATCGAGGTAAATTTTTGCGGCTGGAGCTGGTCGTAACCCGAAAAGTTCGTTAGTCGAAGTGTTCGTATCCCGAGTTACCACTGTATGCATGTGAATCCTGGACTCTGAACAACTGGAGAAATTTCACATGTGCATTCTCTGCTGCATCCTCAGCATTCATTGGCAAGACCATGTCTCCAACGTGGAGATCTTGGATCACACAGAGTCCACAAGCACTGAGTCCCTGATTATCAGAGCCAGATGCAGTGGGTGGGACACGTCATCAGAATGGATGACCACCGTATGCCTCGCCAGTTGCTCTGTAGTGTACTGGAGTCTGGGAAGAAACCTAGAGGTTGACCACACAGTGCTATAATGACACTATGAAAGAAACCCTATGCTACTATGACATCTAGCCAAAGGAACTAGAAGCTGTGGCTGCTGACAGAACCTGCTGGCGAGCCTTGGGCTATGAAGCCTCCACCAGCTTTGAAGATAGGTGCCCCCAAAAACTGATAGAAAACCATGAGTGGCGTCACAGAATAACACACACAGTTACTACAACAATGGATGTCCAGTGCCCCCATTGTGCTAGACTCTGCAGTTCCAGACTGGGACTGCAGAGCCACCTCCATGTCCACAGATGAACTGCACAACAGTGTGTCTTCTTCAAACCTGAAGGACCACCATACATAATGCTAGCTTTGGAGGGAGAAAGTCAGCTTGGGACAAATTTCCAAATGCCAAAATAAGGAAACTTTCTTTTCACGGCCTCCTCTTCCAGTGTATGGTGGATAGCCACCAAAAGGCCCTGCCTTGGAAGTTGAACTTTTCTCTGCCTGACTGCTTTACATCTCTCTTCTGTACCCCAAACCCTGGTAGTAAAGTATATTTACAAAATGAATGACTCACGATTAAAGTGTCATCTCTTCCCATTCTAATGACAGTCCTGTTAATAGTGCGCAGCAACTGGATCATTATTTTTTGTATGTGCTGATAGGTTGATGCCTGTAAAAAAAGACAATTATTTTCAAGATAATAAAGAATAATCTACAAATAAAATAAATGGGCAGACTTAATCCTAATCATATGAACATAGTGCCTAGCACCATGAGAGAAAACTAATCATCCAATCACTGCTACCTTACATAGTAATGCAGATTGGCCCTTAAGATAGCTAGAAAAATCTCCAAAGACAGAAGATTCATGCTTGCCTCATTCAAAAGAAGAATGGGACAACATAATCATGTCCTTGACATATTCTAGAGAGAGACAGAGAAATGATAGATAGATGATAGATAGATGATAGATAGATAGATAGATAGATAGATAGATAGATAGATAGATAGATAGATAGATTTGTAACAGATTTCAACAGAACAGTATTCAGAGATGCAACACATCCTCCCATATCATCTACATGCAGCCCTGCACGGTCCTAGTACAATACATGCCTGTCAGAACCTGCAGCAATCAAAATATTAATCAACTAACTTAACACGAGTTTCAAGAGATTTTTCTTCATTGGGTTTTGAACATAGCAGACTTGACAATGCCATTGAATTCTGGCAAGAGTCATAGCCCCAGGATTATCCCCAAGATTGCACTCAAATAACTAGTGGCCTTGCAAAAATGTTACATGTTCAATAAGGGAAATTCCCCTTCTTAATTTTATACAGCAGTCTTTTTTACTATTAAACAATGCCTCATTGGCTTCTTTTTTACCATTTGATAGCACTGCTGGTAGAAAATTGCCAATTGTTCAATCTCTTCAGACACACTGCTAGGTTGTATGCTTTCTCATGCCTTTCCTCCCATTTATTCTAATGTCACTTTCGGCTTCAGCTGCTCGCTCACTGTGTTTGTTCTACAGGAGATGTTGATTTTAAAAAAGAACTGACAACTCAGTCTTTCATGAGGGGAAAGCACAGTTCAAAAATTAATATTTTCCTCATCACAGGTATTTAAAGATTCCTGAAAGGATGATTCTGTGGCTTTCCAGTGTCATGATGTGATGAAATCATAGGTATTCCTAGTAGGAATTTCAGCTGACTAGGAGCTGTTACTTTAATGACTGTTTGAATATCCTTAGGGGTAGGGATTCTTTTTAGCTTTGTTTTGTTCTTTTCATTTGGTTTGAATTTTTTAGAGTTCATTTATCCTGCTGTTCCCAGTTTAAACTTTTAAGGTACTGGCTTTAAAATACTTTTATTATATTGATTTTACCTTGCCCTGAGAAAACATGTTTCGAAAGGCAGTGCATACTTTCTTAAATACTGTAAATAACCAAACTTAGGCTGCGTTTGCACACTGCACTAAGTGTATAATATTATGTGTTTAGTTTGCGTGTGGCATGAATCTATCCAGTGTGATTCATAAACCAAGGTGAATAGCTTTACAGACCATGATTAAATAAGCTATGGTTTGGCACAATGTGTGAATCTGATGATAGACTCCCAGCAATTTCACTGCCACCTATTAGTCATAATGAAACTGGTCATATCTCAGTGTTTTAAAAACCCATAGATACTGATTCTAATCTGCCACCCAATCTGGAACATTTCTGGCAATCTGAAGAATGATTCAAGCCCTCCCAGATTTGGAGCTGACAGAAATGTCTGTGACTCAAATGCCAAATATCTGCTTCAGATGTTGAGTCCAAATTAGAACTGAAATATCACACCACGAGTGAGGGATATTAGCCCTCATCTTGGGTGTTACATCAAAAGCACATGTAATTTTTATCTTCAAGAATTGGCAAAAGTCTTAGCAAAAGTGCATCTCTATCTCCATGGATACTCCATCTGTATTAAAGTCACAGTAATTAAGATGGAAGACTAGGATGCAGTAAGAACAAAAAGCTGCAGAATTAAAATAATTGTTAATGGCTACCATATTCAGCATCTGAATAACTCTTTTGTATGTTATTATAGATTGGGTTCATATTTAACGCACAATTGGTTCTTTCGCATTTGTGCTTAAAGTCTCTTTTATGGATTACGGTACCTTCATAATTCATTAGTCTGTGTTATCTGCATGGAATCCTTTTCATTGCACTCTGGTTTAGAGTGGCTTCAAGTGGGTTAAGTAAGTAACTAGAGTGGAAGCAGAAGTGATTGGTGCTTCTACTTATACTTCTGGAAATAGGACTCTCTAAGCATTATGGGAGTTGAGCAATAGCCTCCCAACTTTTCATTGCTGATGCTGCACCCTCTCTTAGAGCAGCTTAGGAGGTCATTGTCTTGCTGGAAAAGGTGATCTTACATGCCAAGAATTATGGGATCTCCCAAGTTAGACAGCCCCTTTCTTCTGTGCTAAGGAATGGATATGATTCTCTGAATGTCTTGGTGAAAATAATATCTAAGCTTGTTTTACTGGGTTTATGCCTCAGTTTACTTCAGACCACAGGACCATTCCTTGCTTCTCTAATTAAACCATTGCTTCTGAAACTGTATGGCCACGACTTTGTTACTCTCACCTTCTAAGCTAATTAGTAGGGATACATTTACAGTCAAATCCAATTAAGTGATGCTTAGATTCTTCCCTCTGGCTGCACTCACTCATATACTAAATGTTGGCTCATTTTAACTGTTTATAAAGTACAGTGTCCAGAATTGTACATTGTGCTATGCCATAAACTATGGTGACTGGGTCCACACTACTCAGAAAGCCAAAATCACAAAAATAGGACATAGGTTAGTATGGGATGAGCAGCTGTTTAGCCTGTAGGAACCATCACACAATTTTGCAAGGGTCCCCATTTTCCCCTTAATTGCCAATATCCTATAAATGTTAAGCATCCTCATAAAATCTTACATAGCAGCAGTACATTTTATAAAGCTTGGACCACTTTTTTAAACATCTAATTTTGCGGGAATGTTTGGGTTTGAGAGAATGTTGATTTAAGTTGCAATAAGTACCTTGACAGCAGTGGTCTTTGTGTTGCAGACCCTTCATAAACCCAGCCTGCGTTAAATATGGGCTTTCCGGCTTCAGTGCAACTTAAAATCTTGAACAAATGCTTTGCCTAGCTTAATTAAGCATAAATACATAATACTCTTGACACTTGCACTTTCATGAGGATATTAAAACTTACAGAGAATGGCCTTGCACCTACTTTTATTTCCCTAAGCCTTCTAAACTTCATCTTCTTTCTTTCATCAACTGTTATAGTGCCAGATGCCACAGTAGGGCACAGCTCTTTCCAAAAGCAGCATCTGGCTGTTTGGCAGATTTCCCAGTTCCTCTTGGCAGATCTGGCATTTTCAGAGGGCATGTCATGTATTGCTGCTGGGTTCTGACAGAGTTTTCCTCAGAGGTTGTCCTCCTCTCTCCCTCCCATCCACTCCCTCTGCCTTGATAAATCTAACAAATAACTCCAAGTCCAAGGCCTCTTGAGAGCTCTCTAATTAGATGCCACACTCTTCCCCAAAGAACTCCTCAAAGTAGTTGCTGGATAATTAGGTTAAAGTTTATGTTTTTTCAAAAAAGGCCCAGCTTGAAGTATTTACAAGTCAGCTTTTAAAGAACAAAACAAAATAAAATAAAGATATGGATTTCAGGTCCAGATTTTTAGTTTTGGAATGGAGCCACACAGAGCTAGCACAACATAGCACTATTCTATGCTTCATAGAACAGAACAGAGTAAGGAATGGGTGAACTTCTTTCCCTTTAGAGATGATCCATACAGAAGTAAATACACGTCCCTGGGAGAATTTCTAATGAAACACAGCCCATCTTAATCAGGATGAAAAGGCTTTCAGATTTAGGAATCTAGAATTTAAGTAACATTAAACATATGAGCAATGATATATTGGTTCTTCTATACAGACCGAGCTTCACGAAAAAGTCACAAGGGAGCTCATTTGCAATTATGATATGAACATGTTGCTTCTCTTGACATTTAAAAAAGTGCTGCAGCCTATTAGGCAGGTCTCTGTATCCACATCAGACCTCTTCATAACTATATCTTGACACATCACACTTAGCAAATATTTAATTGGCCTGTGTGGAATCAGTTGCCATTTGTCACTAACCCTCCTGACACTGCTACATTCAGTACCTTTTTCACTTGGTTGCCACTAGTGGAAAAGTGAGGCAGTAAGTCACCTTCTTTCAGCTGAAATGAAATTAATTCTAGGGATTATTTTGGACTTCATTTTGGACAGCAAACAAAAAACAAAAAAGAGATGGCTGCTAGAGGGCAGCAAAGAGATGTATCTTTCCTGACGTCTAGTGGTTAACTGGATTTGTGCAGCCCAAATTTAGTAATCCACAATTCTTATTTAGATCTTCTTCTCACAGTGATAGCTTCATCAATGACTATCTATCTATCTATCTATCTATCTATCTATCTATCTATCTATCTATCTATCTATCTATCTAATCTATATATCCTATCCTATCCTATCCTATCCTATCCTATCCTATCCTATCCTATCCTATCCTATCCTATCCTTCCATCTGGCTATATCTGTTAAGGTGACTAACCAAACTGTTTCTGTTGCTAATCTTTCATTGGCTGTATCACAGGGGAAGATAAGACAAAAAGGCCTCCTCCATCAGCCTTAATGGACTGGGCTAATTGTCATCGGGCTCCACTGTGTCCAAACCATCCATTCTATTGCTACTTAATGTTGTGTTAAATTTATTTTTATTCTTGTTACCTCCTTCCTTTTTCATTATGTCTATTAAACCATAATCTTGCATACTTCTTATGATGAAATGATACATTACTTGCATTCTACTAACACAAGTAAAGATATAGGTGTCCACAACAGCCAGAAAGCTGTAACAGAATGGAGGGAGGGAATGGATAGGAGACGGTATCAGAGAAAAGAGGTAGTTGGCAATTGGAAGAGTAAAAAGAGGGAAAGGAAAGGAAAGGAAAGGAAAGGAAAGGAAAGGAAAGGAAAGGAAAGGAGAGGAAAGGAAAGGAAAGGAAAGGAGAGGAAAGGAAAGGAAAGGAAAGGAGAGGAAAGGAAAGGAAAGGAAAGGAGAGGAAAGGAAAGGAAAGGAAAGGAGAGGAAAGGAAAGGAAAGGAAAGGAGAGGAAAGGAAAGGAAAGGAAAGGAGAGGAAAGGAAAGGAAAGGAAAGGAAAGGAAAGGAAAGGAAAGGAAAGGAAAGGAAGATAAGTAATATATGTATAAAATACACACACATCTAAGATATGCACACTCCCTGGAGAAGATATAATAGGAGTAGAAATATCAAATGTATTATTTAGGGATAGTGGCACTGAGATGTTCAATTATACTTGTTTACCCCTAAAATGAAAATGAAACAAGTCCTCTTTCACCACCCTGCTTAAACAATAACAATGTGGAAGTATGTATGTTTGTATGTATGTGTATGTGCATACACACACACACACACACACACACACACACACACACACACATATATATATATATATAT